ATGCCCAGTTAATATGTATATTTTTAGTAGAGATGGGGTTTCGCCATGTTGGCCAGGCTGGTCTTGAACTCCTGACCTCAAATGATCTGCCCACCTTGGTCTCCCAAAGTGCTAGGATTACAGACGTGAGCCGTAGCACCTAGCCAGAAGTTTTTACTTTTAGCTTCCTTCATCAGTTTTCTCATTTTAGCTTGTGCTTTTGTAGTTGTATCTAAAAACTCATTGCGTAGCTCAAGGTCATGAAGATTTTTTTCCCTTTGTTTTTTTCTAGAAGTTTTATAATTTTAGCACTTATATTTAGGTCAGTGGTTCATTTTGAATTACTTTATAAGGTAAGGATCTAAGTCAGGTGTCCCCAAACTACGGACTGTGGGCCGCATGCGGCCCCCTGAGGCCATTTATCCGCCGCGGCACTTCAGGAAGGGGCACCTCTTTCACCGGTGGTCAGTGAGAGGAGCACAGTATGTGGCGGCCCTCCAACGGTCTGAGGGGCAGTGAACTGGCCCCCCGTGTAAAAAGTTTGGGGACGCCTGATCTAAGTATTTACTTTTTGCATGTGGAGCTACAGTTGTCTCAGCAACATTTGTTGAAAAGACTATTGTATTAGTGCATTCTTGAATTACTATGAAGAACTACCTGAGAATGGGTGATTTATGAAGAAAAGAAGTATAAGTGACTGAGTTCTGCAGGCTATATAGGAAGTATGGCTAGGGAGGCCTCAGGAAACTTAAAATCATGGCAGAAGGCGAAGGAGAAGAGAGAGAGAGAGAGAGAGAGAGAGAGAGAGAGAGAGAGAGAGAGAGAGAGAGAGAGAAGAGAGAGCACACGGGGAGATAACCCATGCTTTCAAACAACCAGATCTCATGAGAACTCAAACAACCAGAACTCTATCATGAGAACAGCAAGGGGAAGCCTTCCCCCATGGTTCATTAATCTCCCACGAGGCCTCTTCTCCCACACTGGGGATTACAAGTCGACATAAGAGTTGGATGGAGACACAGAGCCAAACCATGTTAACAGTCTTTTTCCCTACTGAGATCTTGGCATATTTGTTAAGAATCAGTTGACTACTGGCAGCAAACTCAGACTGCTTAAAAAACAAAAATCAATTGACATAAATGTAAGGGTTTATTTCTGGCTTCTCACTGTTATTCTGTTGATCCATAAGTCAATCCTTATGCTAGTTCTACATTGTCTCTTTTTTTTTTTTTTTTTTTTTTTTTTTTTTTGAGACAGTCTCACTCTGTCGCCCAGGCTGGAGTGCAGTGGCGCGATCTCTACTCACTGAAACCTCAGCCTCCCAGGTTCAAGTGATTCTCCTGCCTCAGCCTCCCCAATAGCTGGCATTACAGATGTGTGCCACCATATCCGGCTATTTTTTGTATTTTAATAGAGATGGGGTTTCACCGTGTTGGCTAGGCTGGTCCCAAATTCCTAACCTCAAGTGATCCGCCCACCTCAGCCTCCCGAAGTGCTAGAATTACAGGCATGAGCCACCACGCCTGACCAGTTTCACACTGTTTTGATTTCTATGGCACTATAGCAGGCGTCCCCAGACTACAGCCCGCCGGCCGCATGCGGCCCCCTGAGGCCATTTATTCGCCCCCCTGCCGCACTTCAGGAAGGGGCACCTCTTTCATTGGTGATCAGTGAGAGGAGCACAGTATGTGGCGGCCCTCCAACGGTCTGAGGGACAGTGAACTGGCCCCCTGTGTAAAAAGTTTGGGGATACCTGACCTGTACCTAAGCATGGAACTGCCCTGTACCTCTTCAACCTTTCCAGATAATGCTAAGTTATTTTCCATAGTAGTTGGTGCCAACATACACTTGTAGTAGCATGTGGGTGTGTGAGAGTCTGTGCTATTCAACGTTCTACCACCATTTGGTGTGAGTAGATTTTCTATTTTAATTTTTCTAGTCATTTTCTTGTGGTTTTAATTTTCAGTTCTTCGATGACTAATAAAAATGAGTATCTTTTCATGCACTTACAGGCTGTTGGGGTTTCCTTTTTTTGTAAAATGCCCTTTGCTGATTTCTTTTGCCCGTTTTTCCATTTTCTTATCTGTATTTTTCGTATTGAGTTTTTGGATTTTTAAAATGTATTCTGGATAGTAATGGTCTGCTTCCTTCCTTCCTATTCAGCCACAGGTCATCTTTGAATGTATGCATTTGTTTTGGCTATTCAGTTTTTTTTAACCTTTTTTTTTTTTTTGAGATAGGTTCTTGCTGTGTCTCCCATGCTGGAGTACAGTGGGGTGGTCGTGGTTCGCTGCAGCCTCTCCTTTGTTTGCTCAAGTGATTCTCCCACCTCTGCCTCCTGAGTAGTTAGGGCTCCAGGTACATACCATCATGCCAAGATAATTTTTGTGTTTTTTTGTAGAAACAGAGGTCTCACTACATTGCCGAGGCTCAAACTCCTGGGCTCAAGCAATCTTCCTGCCTCAGCTTCCCAAAGTGCTGGGATTACAGGTGTGAGCCACCATGCTCAGCTGGGATTTGTATTTTTAACACATACCTGGGGTACCTGATTCTTAGACAAGTTTAGGAAGTGGCACCAAAGCTTTAAAACTGTGGCATCTTCAAAACAGTAATTTAAAAAGTACCTTCAATTCATAAGATCATTATAGCTTTAACTTTGGATTAAAAACAAGATCTTGTTCCTGTTTTCCTTTATAAAATATATGTCCTATGAAACCAGCTTGGGAGAAAATCAATGCACAGATGTTTGGGAAGCCCCAGCTATGTGTAATTTGAAATCCTCTGTTTAAATTCTCTCTCTCTCACCTCACCAGTGGGCAGTAACTCATCTCTGAAAGACTGTGCAACCCCAGCTCTGGGTAGAACTCAGAGATTTCACATCCCTAGGAACCAAGAACTGTGTATTGTAAACAGTCTCTAAGGTTTGGAGTTGTTAGTTTTTTCCAGCCTTGAAATCTCATGGGGCAGTTGTTTAAGTTGGAACTCTCACAAAGGCCATATGAAAATCACAAAGTGAGGCATCAGGAAATGGAATTCCACGTACATCCAATTGCCATGTTTGGTGTCAGCACTATTGTTTTTACAGCTTACATTCCTGCCCCCCCCCCCATAACATCTGGCCTGTAAGAGGATGTTTTGCAAATCAGACACGTTATTTACTTTTAGGCGTGTAATGCTGTGGAGAAGCTTGGTGACTCTAACGATGTAGGTATTGGGTAACAGCACTAAACTAAAAACACATGTCAAGCTATCTTTTGACATGGCGAACGTTCTCGCCATTCTCTGCATGTTGGAATTGCTTATTAAATAATCGTTTCTGAGTGTCTGAACATCTTTTTTTATTTTTAAGTGACTTTTTTATGAGAGTCAACCATGGGGGTGATGAAATGTAGCAAAGTTATTTAATTTCTTATGCTGACTTTTGAATTTATAAAGACTTCAGGGCCTGGCATTAAATTTAGTTCTTCAAAATAGAGCTTTTCTGTTTCTGATGATAAAAGATGACTTAATCTAGGGTGTTTGGGGCCATATTGTGTGACTGTGGTCTTCTATCAAGAGTCCTGAGGCGGGGCGCAGTGACTCACTTTGGGAGGCTGAGGCGGGCAGATCACAAGGTCAGGAGTTTGAGACCAGCCTGACCAATATGGTAAAACCCCGTCTCAACTAAAAATACAAAAATTAGCTGGGCATGGTGATGTATACTTGTAATCCCAGCTACTTTGGAGGCTAAGGCAGGAGAATCACGTGAACCTGGGAGGTGGAGGTTGCAGTGAGCAAAGATCGTGCCATTGTACTCCAGCCTGGGCAATAGAGTGAGACTCTATGGGGTGGTGGGGGAAGAGTCCCGAACACTCAATGGCAGATGAGTGCACCCCCAAAAAAGAGTCACAAACATGTTGGCCAGGTACAATGGCTCATACTTGTATTTCCAGCACTTTGGGGGGCCAACGTGGGATGATTGCTTGAGGTTAGGAGTTCAGGAGCAGCCTGAGCAATATAGTGAGAACCTGCCTCTACACAAAATTAAAAAAAAAAAAAAAAAATTAGCCAGCCATGGTGGTACATGCCTGTAGTTCCGGCTGCTCAGGAGGCTGAGGCGGGAGGATTGTGTGAGCCCAGGAGTTCGTGGCTGCAGTGTGCTATGATTGCACCAGTGCACTCCAGCCTGAGTAACAGAGCAAGACTTTATCACTAATAAAATAATAATAACATTTAAAAAAATTAAATGAAGAGTCCTGAACATGGCTGTGACCCTTTGGCATGAATGAGAATGTAGAATTCAGCAATTCCTTGCAAAGCTGAAATGTTCTTAGCATTGAAGGTCATATTTCCAGAGTAACATGTATTCATTGAACTTAACCATGTTCCTTTTAGGGGGGAATTTGGGAGTGAGTATAAATAATCAGTGTGAGTTTATGAAGCCTTGGGGATTTACTTATGGGGTCATTTCTTAGAAAAGAATGTTTAAGGATCCTGATCACCCTGAAATAAACAGAAGAAGCCAGTCTGCAAAGCAGTCGAACAAAGACGAGGAGAGAGAGATGTCATTCACTTCTCTCAGTGGTTTTGAATGCTTCCTGGTTCAGCATACAAGCAGGATCCTTTTGGATAAGGCTTTCCTGGAACAAAGTGATAGTGTATTTCCTTAAGAGGCTATGTTATGGTCTGGGTGCACTGGCCCACGCCTGTAATCCCAGCACTTTGGGAGGCTGGGAGGATCGCTTGAGGTTGGGAGTTTAAGGCCAGCCTGGGCAACATAGCGAGATCCTTTTGTAGAGAACAAACAAACAAAAAAAAAAAATGAAGGAAAAAGAAGAGACTCTGTTGTAAGCAGAGTCCAGCTCTCTTTGTCAGAAGCATAGTGGTTTAGCTTGTCGTTCTGTGCTCAGTGCCTAGTTCAGGCCTTGGCACTCAGTAAGTACCTCAGCTTGTTTATAGAAACCATTAATTTTTCAGGTCTGGAGTGTCCGACCGTACCAGCCATGCCAGAGTGAATTTTCTCTTCTTTTCTCTTTTTTTAGTGTTCAAAGCTTCTTTCAGATACCAGTGTTATTCAGTTCTACCCAAGCAAATTTGTGCTTATCACCGACATACTTGATACATTTGGTAAGTACCTGTCATATGCATCTTAGATCTAGGAAATGTGTTTGTTTTGTCAAGAACTGGGTGGTAGAGTTACTGTAAATTAGGTTCTCCAGTGGTTTAAGTTACTAGGTAAGTCAAGAGAGAGACCAAACCATCCTCTCCATGCCCATTAATAAGGGTGCTATTTTTGAAGCATTCTAAAGTTTTATTTTTTGTTCTTTTTTTTTTTTTTTGAGTCACGGTCTTGCTCTGTCATCCAGACTGGAGGGCAGTGACACAGTCATAGCTCACTGCAGCCTCGAACTCCTGGCTTCAGCCATCTTCCTGCCTCAGCCATCTTCCTGCTTCAGCCTCCTGAGTAGCTGGGATTATAGGCTCATGCCACCATGCCCAGCTCTTTTTTTTGGTAGAAACAGAGTCTGGCAATATTGCCCAGGCTGGTTTCAAACTCCTAACCTCAAGTGATCTTCCTGCCTTAGCCTCCCAAAGGGCTGGGATAACAGGCATGAGCTACTGTGCCTGGCCTATTTTTCTTTATCTTTTGATAGTCTAGTAAAGTGAATTAGTGAAGCAGGGCAGGCTGAGACCACTAAGCAGCATGAGTCCCTTGCCGTCTCCCGGGCACCTGAAACTGAATTTGACATCTGTTTCCAGCCCTTTCCCTTTTCCCAGTGAGTTTCTGTCTCTGTGAATCGCACCACCATGTACCCAGTTGCCTGAGCTGGGAATCTGAGCATCTTCCCCCACATGCCCATGTCCAGTCACCCAGTTCTTTGGTTCAGCCTCTTACAGCTCTTCCCAGCATGTCCATTTTTCTCTTTCTTCACTGTTAATTTTTATTTTATTTTATTTTTATTTTTGGAGTCAAAGTCTCTGTCGCTCAGGCTGGAGTGCAGTGGCATGATGCTGGCTCACTGCAACCTCCACCTCTTGGGTTCAAGTGATTCTCCTGCCTCAGCCTCCCGAGTAGCTGGGATTACAGGTGTGCGCCACCATGCCTGGCTAATTTTTGTGTTTTAAGTAGAGACAAGGTTTCACCATGTTGGCCAGACTGGTCTCAAACTCCTGACCTCAAGTGATCTGCTTGCCTTGGCCTCCCTAAGTGCTAGGATGACAGGCATGAGCCACTATGCCCAGCCTCACTGTTAAACTTTAATCCCAGCCACAGTCCTCTCCCATCTGGATGCCTTCTTGTGTTACTGTGGCTGCCCCTAGTCTCACACACCACCCCACAGGTGGAGTGGTCTTTTGGAGCCAGGTAGAAAGGTGTAGACCGCAAAGAATAACCTGGAGGATCAGGGGGCCCCTTTGCTGCTTGGCAGTGGTTAGTTAAGCCTGAACATTGTGCCGTTAGCAGGTTGCTCAAACCACACAGGTCTCTAAGCTGTATATGATTTGCCCCACAGTGAGGACCCCACCAGAACTAGGAAATAGGGTGCCTTCTGAGAGCTGAACACGTAGAATATCAGAACAGAGACATTCACTGTCTTACCAAGGAGGGACCAGTGGGCTCCTAACCCAACAAGTCTTAATGTAACCCACTGAAAGATATAATGTTAAGAAAGCAAACCGTCAGTCTGAGAAACCCACTCATTTCTGTGCATCCCAGTCCTGTCCAAGAGACTGGAGACCTAAGTATGCTAGCTAAAACAAGTAACAGGAAAGCTAACTAGCCTTGGAAAAGTGGGTATTTATTGGCTTATGCTGAAAAGTCCAGGAGGTACATCTGGATCCAGGAACCCAAACAGTGCCATTAAGACCTTGCCCTTGGGCCCAGCATGGTGGGTCACACTTGTAACCCCAACCCTTGGCCGAGCACGGTGACTCACACCTGTAATCCCAGCACTTTGGGAGGCCAAGGTGGGCGGATCACGAGGTCAAGAGATTGAGACCATCCTGGCCAACATGGTGAAACCCCGTCTCTCCTAACAATACAAAAAAAAAAAAAAATTAGCTGGGCGTGGTGGTGCATACCTGTAGTCCCAGCTACTTGGGAGGCTGAGGCAGGAAAATTGCTTGAACCTGGGAGATGGAGGTTGCAGTGAGTTGAGATTATGCCACTGTGCTCCAGCCTGGCGACAGAGAGAAACTCTGTCTCAAAAATCAATCAATCAGTCAATCAGTAAGTAACCCCAACTCTTTTGGAGGCTGAGGCAAGGTGGATCATCGAAAGTCAGGAGTTCAAGACCATCCTGGCCAATATGGTGAAACTCTGTCACTACTAAAAATACAAAAATTAGCTGGGCATTGTGGCATGCACTTGTAGTCCCAGCTACTCGGGAGGCTGAGGCAGGAGAATCACTTGAACCCAGGAGGTGGAGGTTGCAGTGAGCCAAGCACACACACCACTGCACTCCAGCCTAGGCAATGAGCCAGGCTCCATCTCAGAAAACAACAACAAAAAAAAACCTTGCCTTTGCGTTGGGTGCATTCTTGAGCTTTACAAGGTGTCCTCAGCTTTTGCTAGCTTTACTGCTAGTGGTTCCACGGCATGGAAAGAGCTGCTTTCTTCAGGCCTTCCCACAGAAGTTTCAGAATCCCATCTCATTGGCCTAGCTTGGATCACATGTCAGTCCTTGAGCCAGCTGTGGTATCTGGGGGATGAAGTACACTGATTATCTAGGCCTGGGTCACCCAAAACTGAAAAGAGTGATGCAGTTAGCAGAAGAAAGGGAGTGGATGCTACCTGGACAAAAAGAAGAGCTGTCCCAGCTGACAGATGGGCCCTGATAGGTTCAGATGGCCTAGAGCGGTGGTATCATGTTCTCTGCAGGCCACTAGGGAGGTGTCAGCAAATGGAAGGGACAAAAATTCTTGCCTTGGCCGGGCATGGTGGTTCATGCCTGTAATCCTAGCACTTTGGGAGCCTGAGGCAGGTGGATCATTTGAGGTCATTAGTTCAAGACCAGACTGGCTAACCTAGCGAAACCCCATCTGTACTAAAAATATAAAAATCAGCCAGGTGTGGTGGCGTGCACCTGTAATCCAGCTATTCAGGAAGCTGAGGCAGGAGAATCACTTGAACCCAGGAGGCGGAGGTTGCAGTGAGCTGAGATCACGCCACTGTACTCCAGCCTGGGCCACTGAGCTGATATTTCGTCTCAAAAAAAGGAAAAATCCGTGTCGTTATGGTGCTTATGTTTCCATAAAAGAGAATTTACTGGACAATTACATCAACCCAATTATATGTTAGATAATGATTCATGCTATGGAGAAAAACAGAGTGGGGTGAGGGGGTGAAGAGGAATGGAGGGGATTAGGTGAGGTGGTGAGGGTGCAGTTTTAAGTAAGATGCTCAGAGGAGGCCGCCCTGAGAGGTTACCTGAGCAGGTGCTTGAAGGCGGTGAAAGGTGAGAGGTGAGCCATGTGGGTCTGTGGGGCAGAGGCCAGGGGCAGAAGAGGCCATGGAACGGCTTGTGCAGAGATCCTGGGGTGGGAGCATTGGGAGCATGCCAGGCTGGCCTGAGAACCGAAGAGGCCAAGAGGGAGGCAGTGGGATGAGCTAGGGAGAGAGGCAGAAGCTGACATGGCCAGAGATCATGGTGGCCTTTGGGGCTACTGGAAGGACCTGGACTTTGACTCTGACTCTGAGGGCAGGAGGGGCCACCAGAGGGCGTTGAGCAGAGGAAGGAGGTGATCCCATGTGGGATTTAACAGGCTCTGTGTTGAGACTAGACTGTTGGGTGTGGGTGGAGCCCCAGGCCAGTGGCTGCACTTCTGGTGAGAAGGCAGGGGTGGTGTGGCCCCGGGAAGGTGGTGGAGATGGTGAGGAGCCACCCGGGATGGATGAGGGCTTTAGGTTCTCAGGATAGATGTCAAATCATACACTGCTGGTCCTTGACATGTCCATGTACACGGCTTACCTTTAGGGGGTGAGGCACTCGCTGGTGGGGAGAGGCTGGGGGCTGTGTCTGGCTCCCCTAGCAGTCTTATTTCTCCTGTGAATTAACCTCTTAGCCTTCTGGTTCCCTTTCTAGCCTCTCCTAAGTTTCTTTCGTTTGAGTCAGCTTCTCTGAGCGAGATTAGCTCTGGGACACTGATTAGCTCTATCCTGCCAGGCTGACCAGACCCAGACAGCTTACTCACCTTGCAAGAGCTATGGCCAGCAGTGCCCCAGCCCCGTCCCGGACTCGCGGGGCTGTAGTACAGATGCCTGCCGTCCTTGTTGTGTCCTAGAAAATAGCTGGGCTGGGAGTTGGGAACAGCAGTGCTAAACCTTCAACAGATGACGACCTCGGGCAGACTGTTCAGGTGCTTTGCAGATATTAAGTCGCATAGTCTGCCTAACAGCTTTGTGAGGTGGGGCTGGTTGTTATCCCCATTTTATAGATGAGGAACCTGAGGCATGGAGAAGGAAAGTAGCTTGCCCAGGGTCACTGGCAAAGTGAACTGCAGAGCTGAGACTCAGCTAGCTCTCTGCAGTCAAAGCACCTACTTTATGCCTTTTTATACATCGCTCATGGAGGAATGCGTATACCTTTTTTTTTTTTTTTTTTTTTGAGACAGGGTCTCGCTTCATTGCCCAGGCCAGAGTGCAGTGGTGTGATCATGGCTCACTGCAGCCTGATTTGCTGGATCTCTTGAGATCCTCTTATCTCCCAAGTAACTGGGACCACAGATGTGTGCCACCATGCCCAGTTAATTTTTTTTTTTTTTTTTTCTCTCTGTGGGATCTCACTGTGTTGCTCAGGCTGGTCTCAAACTCTGGGAGTCAAGCCAAACTCCTACCTTGGCCTCCCAAAGTGCTGGGATTATGGGCGTGAGTCAGTGTACTCGGCCTAAATGCATATATGTTTGACACAACAGTTTTACCTCTGGGAGTTTATCCCATTTGTAATAGCAAACTATAAAAGCCACTCAAGTGGCCAATAAATTATGGTGTGTCTGTATAGTGGAGTGCTGGTGGCTCTGTGAAATGAGGATGGGCTTTGTGTATCCACAGGGAAAGATCTCTGGAGGAGGTATTATTAAATGGAAGAGTCAGGATTTAGGGCAGCTATGGAGTATGTCACCTTTTATGT